CTCTTCCCAACACCTACCTACCAATTTCTCACATTTTCCAGTTTTCACCCAGAAAATCTCCGTCGAGGGGGAAGAAAGGGTACATAGGCAATGTGAAACAGGAAAACTTCTCAGAAATTTCCCCAACCTCCTACCACCTTTCCCGAAAACTTCCTACCTCTTTTTGCGAATTCTCCGGGAATTTTCCTCCCTTTCCCGCAAATTTTTTGTCGAGCGGGGGGGAGTCTGTGACTACAGGGGGGGCCAAAAAAAAGTCATTCCGGCCGAGTCACATATGAGCGAAGTTTTCGCAGCCCAGACAGAGGAAGTGGATATGAGTACCAGGGCGGAAGATACCCAAGATCTTCCTCTATAAGCTGGAGCAGGCTGCCGCCAATCGCCTTCATGTACGCCAAAATATGAAGTCATCTCCAGTCGCGGCCTGACTGGAGAACACCTTTGGAATTCACGTCGCCTCCAAACAGCTGCGAAACTTCTTGAATGAAGTCATCCACAGATAGCTACCTGGGGTTCAGTACTCTTGATCTGCAAGACCTCCCACATCGAGAGAGCGGGCCCCCCTACGCACAACGTCGCTACGGTCTAGGACATCATCTTCACCGTATTCGCCGAGGCGCGAGTTGATGGTATGGACCGGGTACCTGGAAAGGGAAGACCGATATTTTCTTTGTAGACCCCGACTGAAGGTGAGCGCTGGCGGTTACATCAAGTAACTCGAGAAGAATATCCTCCCTACATGTGTGTTGGTTTTTTTGCCCCCCCCCCGGACGGGGAGCCAAAAAAAAAAACAAAAAAGTGCTTTCGCATTGCATTTCGAAGCTGCTATAAATTACACTTTATTGATTCTCATCGAAATTTTTAGCCAACATATTGAAGAGCATATTAAATACTATCATGACACTCCGCCACAGCCTTCTGGACGAGCGCCATCGAGAGATTCTGGCACGCGACCGCGATGTGGTGCCTGAGATCAGCGAGATAGTCGATTTCTCCGCCACCGTAGACCACCCTATTGAACTCCGCCGAACCGGTAATTAAGGGGATTCAGGTCAGGTGACCTACTTGGATATTCCATCTTCTTTAGGTACTCAGCCCCCTTCCATTCCAAGTAGGCGAGAGTTTCTCCAACGCCCTTCGATTTCATGTGGTGGCACTCAATGCTGTAGCAGTACAAACCAAGAAGGTACGGGCGACCACATGTGAGGAGGATATTCTTCACGAGTTGCCCAATGTAACCGCCAGCGCTCACCTTCAGTCCGGGGTCCACGAAGAAAATATTGGTCTTTCCATTCCAGGTACGTCCGGTCCATACCATCAACCCGCGCCTTGGCGACTGCGGTGAAGATGATGTCCTAGACCGTTGTCGGAGCTGCTCGATGTTGGAGGTCATCCAGATCGAGAGTACTGGTCTCCAGGTAGCTATCCATGGGTGACTCCTAGAAGTTTCGCAGCTGTTTGGAGGTGACATGAATTCCAAAGGTCTTCTCCAGTCAGGCTGCGACTGGAGATGACTTCATATTTTGGTGTACATGAAGGTGATGGGCGAGAGCCAGCTCCTGCTTATAGAGGAACATCTTGGGTATCTTCCGCCCTGGTACTCGTATCCACGTCCTCTGTCTGGGCAGCGAAAACTTTGCTGATATGTGACTCGGTCGAAGTGACTTTTTTTGCCCCCCCCCTGTAGTACACATGAATGAGGAAAAACCGCGAATAGTCACGAAAAGTCAACACCGTATGTATGTGGCCTCGAGAGAAAATGGCCGCGTTGGGAAGAATTTTTTCCCAACGCGGCAAATTTCTCTCAAAGCCACATACGACCCCCCCCCCTCTCCCAACAACGACCAAATACGACCTCCCCTCCCCAGCCGAAAAGTACGACCCCCTAAGTACTTTACATAATAACGCTGTACCTTGGGTTGCAATAGTGTGCCACTTCCGTCGCTCATGGATGTACCGAATTTGGGGCGAGAAGTAGTGGGCCAGCTTCGTACTCCGCTCGCCTTATCCTCAAGGTGCCGCACTTGTGCAATATCATGGTCCCGCAGCGAAACACATAGTCAGTGGTGGAGAACAGCCAGAAGTGGGACGGCGCAGACAAGCAGCGCTTTTGGCTGTCATACGTATAGCTGGCCGCGCAGCAGCGCGAGGCGAATTA